GGGTCCTTCTCTCCAAAGTCCTCCCTGCCCCCCGGCCTCCTGCCCCATCATTGGCCCGTGAACAGTCCCAGGGTCCCACAAGATGGTCAAAAAGACAGCCAGCGGTCACCACTTACAGTAAGGCTGCACACTAACAGGGCACATTCTTTTTCTCGGACAGAAAGGCGGAAAGCACATGGTAACTCCCAGCGATGGCTGCTCGGGCAGAGGGTTCTGGCAGGTCGCCAGGCACAGCTAGGCTTCTAATGAGCTCTTTTCTAAAAGCATTCCCACCACCTGGATGACTGCTCCTGCCTTCCATTAGGGATGAAGGCGGAGGAACGAGAACCCAGGCGAGGTGCCAGCACACCACGACTCTGAACGCTATGCTTGTCTTGCTACTTTTTTTTTTTTTTGTCTTGCTACTTTTAAAGGCCCAGGGCAGCCCCAGCGGAGCCTGCACACAGGCGTTCCTCTCCTCTCCTTTCTCCCCTTTGCCCGGACAAGATCTAAGAGGGTCCCCCGCAAAGATGACCCACTCCAAGACCGAAACCAAGCAAGGCAACACCCTCTATCAGGCCCAGGGGCCATTCTCCCTTCAGCAGAATTCAGTTAGTGAATTACTTTAGTTAGTAACTGTGGGTCTCCACCACCCAGTCACCTCAGCCCTTAGTCTATCCCCTAAAGTTGATTCCTCTTTTCCAGTATCTCAGGGCATAGCATGTGCTATGCTGCTGGCAGGGCAGCAGGGTTAAAGAGGGTTAAGGATCTAGATTAAAAGACTTCCCTGGTGGTCCAGTAGCTAAGAATCCACCTGCCAGTGCAGGGGACACTGGTTCAATACCTGGGCCGGGAAGAACCCATGTGCCTCAGAGCAACTAAGCCCAGAAGCCACAACTACTGAGCCCACGAGCTGCAACAACCGCACTCACACGCCCTAGAGTCTGTGCTCCCCAACAAGAGAAGCCACTGCAATGAGACACCCCCACTGACCATCACCAGAGAAAGCCTGCCTGCAGTAACTAAGACCCAGTGCAGCCAAAAAAAATTACAAAGTAAAAAACAAAGAAGTAAAATAAATTAAAAAGAAAGATTTAGATTAAAGAGCCTAGGATGGAGGTTTGCAATTATCTCCCCCGACATCCTTGGTCATAGTTCTCTTTACGCAACAGATGTGAGGCTGGAGACTGAGTCCAGTCGTGTCCATTTCAGAAAAAAAAGCCCAGCTGCTTTGGACACCACAGTTAGGGTCACTGGCTGCCACCAAAGGACCCCACCACTGGACTGCCAGAGCCTCGGTATCTTCCAGGAGCCGCTCTTTAGAATCCCGAGCGTCCTGGGAAACGAACACCAATGACCACCAGGTGTTGGGGGAGGCGGCAGAAGTGATGCCCTTCTATTTGCTGCTCAAGTCCACCCGGGCTGTGACAGACTCACAATCTTCCCCCAAGAACCGACTCCTGATACCAAACGTCCTGCAATCCTAAGGTCAGCTCAATCCCTTGCCATCCATCAGAAACCACAGCTGACCATCTTCCATCTTGCCTCTGTCTGTTTTCTCTTATCATTACTACAGTTTAAGCCCTCAAACGCTATTCTCTGGGTTTTTTACCCAAGCATTTGATCACTTCCCTTGACACCAGCCCAGTCCCCATAACTCTGCTCCGCGAAGTGGTGTCATCATCACTTTTAATTACTTCTTACTTTAAAGTGGAAGTGAAGTCGCTCAGTCGTGTCCGACTCTTTGCGACCCCATGGACTGGAGCCCACCAGGCTCCTCTGTCCATGGGATTCTCCAGGCATGAATACTGGAGTGGATTACCATTTCCTTCGCCAGGGGATCTTCCCGACCCAGGGATCGAACCCCGGTCTCCTGCATCACAGGCAGATGCTCTACCCTCTGAGCCACCAGGGAAGCCTCTGACTTGAAATTCCCCCTCAAAACAGTGAGACAATGACTTGGATTCAGTAGTTTATCCCAGGGAGTGGGGGAGGCGAGGCAAGGAGGTCAGGCCAGACAGAAAGAGCGCGTGAATGACTGATTAGTCCACCACTCTGGGCAACCGGGGCTGGGTCCTGCTGGGACCCTTGGAGGCCTCCACAGAACCCAAGATAGAACCTTTCCCCCTGCCTGCATTCCTCCTTAGTGAGGGCTGCCCATTTAGGGCATAATCCCAACCCTGACATTCCCACTCCAGCCTGTACTCAGGCTGAGCGAGTTGCCACTATTTACAAGGCCTTCTCGAGGAGCAGAGAGACAGTGAGCAGCCGTGGTGTGGAGTGGAGCTGTCCAGCAAGGCTGCAGAGAACCCCGGGTGGGCTCTGGGCACCGCAGGAAGGACACCCATCACATCTACTGAGTTTCCCAAGGGCTCCAGGGGGGGCATCCTCATTCCTGGGCCTAACTCCCAGGAAGCACTCCCAGAGAAGAGACAGGAGGCCAGTTAAAGTGGAACTTTGGGTAACAACGGACGGTTTTTCTTTTAGTATAAGTTTATCCCAAATGGTGCCTGGCACATTCGTATACTAAGAAGTTGTTCAGTGTTTAAAATTTGAATTTAACTGGGCATTTAGTATTTCTACTTGCTAAATCTTATAAGGCCGATACAAGGCTCTCCTTGATCTGACCTTGACGTATTTCCGATTACCCTGATTTCTCAAACCCTTTCGTCCATGAAAACGGGGTCCTTCGCTAGATCTGGAAACAGCCCCACACATCCCAACTCCAGAGGGGGGCTCAAGCTGGTTCCCTGGCAGGGGTGATCCCCCGCCATGCCTCTGACACTTCTCTGTCCTGCCTACCACCTCTGGGCGCAGAGTCTCTTTGAACATGTCAATGCCCTGCCATCTCTCCCTTCTCTCCCCTCTGAAAGCAGGTACCGCCTGCACAGGTCAACCTGTACCCTCGGGTTGTCTGCAAACATCCGTCTGAATGCCACATTCTCCCAGCTGGCATGTAACTCTCACCCAGGGACCCACTAGTTGTTAGTGACAACACCCTCTTGGTTGCCCCCTGCCCCCAAACACACAGTCAATGCAGGCCCTGTGAAAGCACAGGCAGAGGCCCTCTCCTTTCCCCCTGGATCTCACCATCAAGCAGCGCAGCACACGTGCTGTGGAATAACTGAGTGAACGGTACTTTCTGTAAGGGCTGCATCAGGCCAAGAACGACGTCTAAAGCAGCCAAAGTCATCACCAGCAGCAGGAGGGCTGGTGAGAGGATTCCAACTCTATCGTGGCTTTTCCGCCGTCACACCTTGGCCGCTCAGTCCTTTTCGGGGTTCTGGGTTTTGCCCTCCACCCCTCCGGAGCACGCCCCACACACGTGTGCCCATTTGAGACCAGCCTGAATAGGATATGGCCTGGGCACTAGTTGTCATTTTCTTTTCTTTTAAAGTAGATGCTCTGATCTAAGTGTAACAGCCACACATTCATATAACAGTTTGCACTGGTATGAGCTTTCCTGCGAGTTATTTTATATCAACAGATTTGAAAGGGGGACAAAGCAAAGTTATTATCTGTTTGACAAACAGGAGAAGCTCAGTGGTTAAATGGCTCCGTCAAGCGAAGACTACCAGATGGAGGCGTCGCCTACTGGTGTCTAACTTTTCATTTACAAATATGGCTCGAAATATCTCACATTAGGAATGTAAACAGGACTATCTCATTTTCAAATAGGAAGTTTATTTTTTCAAAGGCATGCTTATTCCTGCAAGCTTGGGTCACCACCCTGGTGGTCACACTGCAAGCTTGGGCCCAGTCACCTGCTCCCTCAGCTCTTCCTTGCCAGAGAGGGCTGGCCACCTGTCCCAACTTGGGGCTGCTCCCTGAAGTACCCATCAGGTGTCTGGGGCTCCCCCAGTACCTGACCTTCCTGGCCAGTGTTTGCACCCAGGACTGGGAAGGAAGCGCAGTCAGCAAACACCTGAGTGAAGTGCCCGAGACAGTTCACAGCAGAAAATGCTTGGCCAGCACCCCACCTTCCCCTGCCTCACTGCGCCCCCACCCCAGCGGCTGTCAGGAAAGATTAGCTTCCAGGTGTCTGTAACAAGGTGAGGTGGGAGGCAGCCCTGGGCGGGTGGGACCACCACCACCCTATGCCCAAGACCCATCATCATTATATCCTCCACGGAGTTCTCTTGTGTGTGTGTTTGGACACACGTGTACTCGGTTAGTGAAGGTGGCGGTGTGACCCAGCTGGGGGCTTCCTTCAGGTGCAGGTAAGGGCTGCAGGGCTCAGCATCAGACCAACCCCCCATCCACCCACCCACAGAGTGGCTAGGGAAGGCTGCGGGGGACCAGGGGCAGGCAAACCGCAGGGTGGGCGCACGACCCCAGCCCGCCACGCCCTCCAACTGGACAAAGTCAAGCTGCAGACTGATCGATGTCGCCAAAGTCCGGCCCGGCGGCCGGCGTGGCCAGGGCTGAAGTTCGCGAGGGCCCTGCACGCCTTAGGGGGTCCGGAGCCTCCAAATGCCTGAAATGTGCTCCAGGGGTCAGGCACTGGGGCCGGCTGCAGAGGAGCCTCCCGCCCCGGGTCCAGAGACACCCGAGGGAAGATGAGGAGCTGGGTGCTGGGGAGCAGGGTGGAGGGGGGGGTCCGTTTAAGGGCGCAGCTACACAGCCACTGCCCCCCTCCCCCGCTGTCCCCACCCACCGCCCCTCCCGTCGGTCCCCAGCCGCGGCGCGCGGCTCCACCTCCCCGGAGCGCAGTCCTCACGGTCCTCCTTCAACAAAAACAACCCTACGCACCGCCCCCCGCACCCGCACCCGGCGGGATCCCGGGCTACGCCCAGCCCGCCCGGCCGCAGACGGTGGGTCGCCCGGCCCGGGCGGCACGCGGGCGGGGCGGGAGAGGGAGCCCCAGCCGGGCGGCGCAGCTCGGCCCCGCGCCGTCAGCCGTCCCCGGAGCGGCAGGAGGGGCGCGCACGGCGGCAGGGCCGCCCGCGTTAACCGCTTCCGCGCCGGCTCGGAGCGCCGCGGGGGACGGCGAGCGGGAGGCACCGTGGGGCCGGACTCACCGGAATGTGCACCCGCAGCGAACGCCGCTTCTGGCTGCTGTTTTTCTTGCCGCCGCTCCCGCCGGGGCTGCAAACATCTTTCTTCTTCTTGGTGTCCATGGCCGCGCTTCCCATAACTTTAAGCCGAAGTTAATTCCGGGTGACCCGTTCCTGGAATTCGGTCCTCTCCTTCCCCGTGCCCGGCCCCCGCCGTCGGCCGCAGGCGCTGTTTACTGTCCCCTCCCGCCTGAAGACACCGCGTGGGGACTTCCGCGGGAGGGAGGTGGGGCAGGGACCTCGGGCCCGCCGCGGGTGGCGGTCGGCGGGACCGCCGGGTTCACGTGTCCGCTTCCTCCTACGGGATCGTCCGAGGCAGAACCGAAGCCCGAGGCCGTCCTGGCTCGGGCTACGCGTGGCAGCGGGCTCCCGCCGGGTGACAAAGTTTTCTTCCTTTGGCAAGGCGAGGCAACATTTCCCACCCTCCCGGCTCCCCGCCACTCCCCGATTCCCAGAGGTAATCGGACAGGCAGGTGCAGTTAAACACTGAGAAGCAGCCCTCCTATTGCCTGAGCCTGAGCGGAAGATCTGGCGAGAGCGAGACGCTATATATATTAACGTGAGCCTCGGCCGCAGAATAAACCAGCCCGCAGCCCGGAGCGAGGTCCGTCCCCCTTTCTGGGCGAGGGAGGGAAGAGGAGGAGGGGAAGAGGAGGTGCAAACGCGGAGACTCTGCGCAATTGGACCGCGGCGCGGCGGCGAGCTCGGCTGCTGGCGGCGGGCCGGAGAGCGCGCGGGAGCCCCGCGGGGAGCGGAGGCCCGGGCGCCCGCTCCGTCCCCCCGCCTCCGTAGCTCCGGGGCTCGGGACTCCGCGAAGGGCCGGGCCTGGCCAGGACGCAGGCGGGCGGCGCGGGGCGGTGGACGGCGGCGCGCTTCGAACAGGAAGTGCACGGCGTGCCGCGCGCTCCCCTCGCCACCGCGCGCTGTAGCCCGGGGGGCTGGGGTCCCCTGCGGCCGCGGCGGCGCGGGACCCACTCTGACCCCGGGAGACCACCCCCCCACTGTCGGTCATGACCCCCCCCACACACACACACACTCTGAAACACGCACACGTGCCCGCAGACCCGGCGGCGGCGGAAGCGTGGGGGTTTCGGTGGGATGCGCGCTGACCCGCACGTGCGTCTGGAAAACTGGGGCCCTGCCCGCCGGCGTGCGCGCTGAGATCGCATCGAGCAGGTGCGACTCGGGGTCGCAGGCGGAGTGCGGGTTTTCACTCCCCCGCCCCCGCCCCCGGCTGTTTCAGGTTCACCAAGGGATCCGCGGTAAGGGTCGGGCGCGGAGTCCGCAGGCCGGCGCCGCGGGGCACGCGGGGTTGCTAAGACGGCGGAGGAAATGGTGGGGGCCGAGGGCTGGAAACCCGGGGCGAGGCCCCCACGTGCTGCCGCGGTCTCAGCCCCACGCGTAGCCCCGGGCCGGCCGGGGGTTCTCTGGGGGTGGCGGGGTGACCCCTCCCACCCCAACCAAGGCGCAGCCCGGATCCTTCCCCCACCCCGGCTGGAAGTGAGGCGAGTCCTCGGTAGAGAGTCGCCTGCCCTCCTGCTCGCGGCTCTGAGGACAGGGTGGCCCCCAAAGTCACTCGAGCGCCCTGAACGCTGACGTCAGTTCTCCTGCCCCCGGCCGGCCATCAGTGGTGTGAGGACGCAGGTCGCTTTGGGGACGCCCCGGGGGCTGTGAGGAGATGGCCTTCCCTCCTGGAGGGACCTCACAGAGACCTCACAGAGGTCTCCCCCGGGAAGGAAGGTGGGCCCGCTTCAGGGACGCCCCGCAGGCGGTGCCCCCCACCCAGCTACAAGCTACCCTCGTCCAGCCTATCTTCCTGCTTCCCTCTCCAGTCCGAGTTCCTCCGCTTGTGTGAAATCCCCCCTAGTCTGGGTGGTGCCTGGTTCTGACGTTCTGAGCCCGTTTCAGGGCTTTTCTGGAAGGTTCCTTCCCCTCCCGGCTCTCCAGTCCAGAGTGGAGAGGGGGCGCTGAGGACCCTCCTGTCCCAGAGCCGTGCTTTCTGGACTGCTGCCGCTAAGTGGTTTCAGTCGTGTCTAACTCCTTGTGACCCCATGGACTGTAGCCTCCCAGGCTCCTCTGTCCATGGGACACTCCAATCAAGAATACAGGAGTGGGTTTCCTTTCCCGGCTCCAGGGGATCTTCCCCAACCAGGGATCGAACTCGCGTCTTTAGAGTCTCCCGTACTGGGAAGCGGGTTCTTGACCACAAGCGCCACCTGGGGAGCTTTATGGACAGACGTTTGCAGTGCCCTGGAGGGGCCCGCAACTGGGTTCAAAAGCCACTTGGCCATCAGGTGTGGAGTTTCTCGCCTTGACCTTTTTTGAACGGCTGGCTGCGGGGGAGGATTTCCGGAGACCCAGGGAGATGACTGCCTTATTCCACTGAACGCTGGAAACACTAATTAGAAAGAGACAAGGGTGGGCCTTCAGCCTACCTGATGTATAAAGCCCACCCCACGCAGAGTGACTCTCCAGTTGTCATTTAAATTCCATCTCTTCAGTTTAATATTTTAATCCCTGTCACAATAATAACTGGCCAAGGCAAGGGAATGACTCCATTTGCTGAGAACTGGTTTTGGAAGGAGAGAAGGAGGGGCAGAGGGAAATCAGGGAGCCTTGGGGAGGGCCCTCCTGGGATCCATTCAGAATGAGGGCTGCCCTGTTATTACTCACACTGAGCATTTTGCCTGAGGCCTGTCATGGTTAATGGGCTGTGTCTGGATTGTTAGAATAGGTACTTTTGTCTGTTGATTTGAGTAACTATGCCCCAGCATTTCGGACTTCCGGGGTGGATCAGCAGTAAAAACACCCACCTGCATTGCAGGAGCTGCAGGTTCAATCCTTGGGTTGGGAAGATCCCCTGGAGGAGGGCATGGGAACCCACTCCAAGGTTCTTGCCTGAAGAATCCCATGGACAGAGGATCCTGTTGGGCTAGTCCATGGGCTTGCCCCATCACTCATTAATAAAATTCATTTGCTCTCTGAGTTTGGTTGGAGTGTTGACTTTTCTGCCTGGGAATCTTAAAACATTTTACTGTATTGCCTACATTTTAAGAGTCCCCCCACCTTTTTTTGTTGTTGTTCCACATGTTTTGTTTTGTTTTTTCAATCTGGGATTTTTAAAAAATTTTTTATTTGCTTATTTTTGGCCATACTGGGTCTTAGTTGCTTTGCCTGGGCTTTCTGTTCAGTTTACATCAGTTGCTCAGTCATGTCCGACTCTTTGCGACCCTGTGGACTGCAGCACGCTAGGCTTCCCTGTTAATCACCAACTCCCTGAGCTTACTCACACTCATGTCCATTAAGTTGGTGATGTCATCCAACCATCTCATCCTCTGTGGTCCCCTTCTCCTCCTGCTTTCAATCTTTCCCAGCATCAGGGTCTTTTCCAGTGAGTCCGTTCTTTGTATCAGGTGGCCAAAGTATTGGAGCTTCAGCTTCAGCATCCGTCCTTCCAATGAACACCCAGGACTGATCTCCTTTAGGATGGACTGGTTGGATCTCCTTGCCGTCCAAGGGACTCTCAAGAGTCTTCTCTAACACCATAGTTCAAAAGCATCAATTCTTCGGCGCTCAGCTTTCTTTATGGTCCAACTCTCACTTCCGTAGTTGTGGCAGGTTGGGGGGGCTACTCTTCCTTGCGGTATGAGGGGCTTCTCATTGTGGTGTCTCCTCTTGTTGCAGAGCATCCCCTTTGGGAGTGTAGGCTCGGTAGTCATGGCTCTCCCACTTAGTTGCTTCACGGCATGTGGGATCTTCCCAGATCAGGGATGGAACCCCTGTCCCCTGCGTTGGCAGGTGGATTCTTATCCACTCTGCCACCAGGAATGTCCCTGGGTGTTTCTTATAGTTGGTGTCAGAAGCTTACCAGTCATTTTTAAAACATGTGTTCGTTTATTTGGGGCTCTATCAGGTCTTAGTTTCGGCAGGCAGGATCTTTTTCCATTGCGGCCTGTGGGCTTCTCTGCTGGAGGCGCACGGCCTCACTAGTTGCCACACAGCATGTTGGATCTTAGCTCCCCAGCCAGGGATCAGACCCAAGTACCTGCATTGCAAGGTGGATTTTTAACCCCTGGACGACCTGGAAAGTCCCTTACCTGTCTTTTTTTTTTTTTTCCTTCTGAAAAGCAATTAATTCATTGATCATACATCTTCCAATCAGTGAAAATGTATAATCAATCATAAATTCTATCAATTGTACATAGAATGGAAGGAGCACAGTGATTGATTTGTGTTGGGGTGCCTCCTGGAACCCCTTCTCTCCTTCACCTGGCTGCACAGTTGTTTTAGCCGGTAGCTAAATGTGGCATGCCCAAACCACAGCCTCACTGTGATGACCCTGACATCAACTGTTTCTGAACACCCTGACCTATGACTCCCTTTGCAGAATTAATACAATCAAATGGATGCTGAACCAAAGAGAAACATTTTATGTAAAGGCAGCATTACTGATTTTACCTTTTGCTGTAGGGTCCAGTATTGCTCATCTTAGCACTGTTAACGATCCTGTCTTTATGTAAAATTCTAACTTGGGGGGTGGTATAACATGAAGTTTATAGACATAATCCCCCCCCCACCCCCCGCCAGATCAAGGAGAGACTCTTAGTGGTCACCAAATATCTATGATTATCTACATAATAGATATGATTATCTACATTTTCTAATGCACTGGCAGTTAGGGTAGGAATATGTAATTAATTCTGGCCAAAGAAATGTAAGTAGAATTAGTAGTGTTACCACTGGGTCAAGCAGTGAAGAGTTAGTATGTCTCCCCCATTTCCCCTTTCCCTCCTGCTGTGATCTTGGAGGCCACGTGTTCCGTGTGAGATGGAGGAGGGCAACCTTGACTTGAGCTTACATTGACTTGAGTCAATTGTATTAAGCCACTGACATTTTGTAGGCTTCCCTCGTGGTTCACACAGTATAGAATTTGCTTGTAATCCAGGAGACCCAGGTTTGATCCCTGGGTTGGGAAGATCCCCTGGAAAAGGGAAAGGCTACCCAGTCCAGTATTCTTGCCTGGAGAATTCCATGGATAGAGGAGCCAGTTTATGGGGTCACTGAGATGTTGGCAATTATTTGTTATCACAGCATAGACTTGCCTATAAAAAAAATTACTACATTGAAATATTATTTATCTTCATGACTGATTTG